TCCTAGAAGGTATGGTAAATACATTTGCACTGGGGAACGCTTATGTCCTTGGGCAAGGGTGTTTAAACATACCTGGGGAACATACTATGAGAATGGAATGGACGCAGCACACCGATGGGGAATTAAACAAACCCATAATAAAGGTAAAACGGAACTGGTGATAACGGTAAAGTCAATTATGCAAGATGACATAGCAAGGAACTATTGGATCTGTGTTGATGATGTCGGGGCAAATACATGTGTGAGGCTCATTTTTCAGGAGAGAAATGAATCTTCCACCCCCGAGACAGAACAGCAGGTAGATCTAATGTTATCACCAGCGGTATCAAAAAATAGTCTAATACCCCTTGGAAGGCCCTCAGAAGGAATCTTAAATAGCACTAAACCACCAAGGGTAGAAGATTTCCTCTTGCAGGAAATGAACCAAGGAGAAGTAGAAGGATTTTCAAATGAGAACTTCTGGGTAAGAAGGATGAACTACACAGCTAGGGCGTTGGGTCAAACTAATTGTTATGCTATTCAACAGGTAGGCCAACCTTTCTAACTGCACCTATGCCTCAGACCATGTTCTCTTGTGTGATAGATTTGGGATCAAACCAAACCTCACCTAATTGTTCTGATATTAAAATAACCACTCTTAAAAAGGATAATACTAAGGCACCCAAATTCACCATGAACCCCAGAGATTATCAATGTTATAGATACCAAAGTAATGCAAATCGCAGATCAGATTGGAGAAGGGTTTACAACAACGTTTTTCTGGTGGGTTACAATTAATAAAAATGTTGACTGGATTAATTACATCTACAAAGGTTCGTTAATTAGACAAGGGATGCAGTGAAGGGAATCTCAGACCAACTATCCGCCACCTCACTCATGACCTGACAGAATAGGTTGGCTCTCGATATGCTTTTAGCAGAGAAGGGCGGGAGTTTGCCAGATGGTGGGAGGTCATTGTTGTACGTTTATCCCCAACGATACAGCCCCAGATGGTACAGTAACTAGACCACTGGCCGGTCTCACGGCATTAAGTGAAGAATGGGCTGAGAACTCGGGGGTGAATACATCAATGACTGGTTGGTTTGATCAAATGTTTGGTAAATGGAAAACTATTCTGGGTGCAGCTATAGCGTGTATGGGTATGCTTGTTCTTTGTGGATGTTGTCTTATTCCCTGTGTCCGAGGGTTGGTGAGCAAGGCATTGGAGTATGCAGTATCACAGCAGATGATGAGATACGGCCCAATCCCGGACTCCGACCTAAGGAATGAAGAATATGACCCACCAGGCTTGATGGAGGACGACGACGATTCAGATAGTTTGAGACTGGATGAAACTTTTCTTAGTTCTAATGTGTGAAGGTTGCAGTGAAAATCTAACGAAGAACTGTGACTGGATGTTTTCCTAGAACTATAAATCTCTAGTTTAAAAGTTATTGTAATGATTTTTTGTGTATTAAAGTCTTGTTTTAAGTATGATGTACTAGTTAACCGATATTGCAGGATGTGATGAAGCAAATGTTCTTCACTATAGGCTTAGACTGTTGTTTCCAGATAGTGGGTAAACAGGTTAGGTACCATTGCTAAAGAGTAACGTTACACTTTTAATCATGGGGTAACCCTGATGAACCTGTATTGAATGAGACAATTTTTTATGTTTTTATGTTTATATGCAAATCAATTTAAATGCTTCAATGTGTGGATGTAGTAGTAGATGCATCTAATTTAAATGTTGATATTTGGTTGCATTTTCAACCAAACACAATTCAATATTACTTTTGTAATACAGTAAATAGCCTAAAGTTAAGGCTATCTTACAAACAAATGTAACATTCAACCTTAAAATGAGTAACACATCCATGGCCAACGCCACATTTTGAGGTTGCTGTAACAACGCATTTCTTATTATATAATCATATAGAGTGTGCATGTTGAAGATAGCATGCATAGGTCATAGCAGGTATGTGGAGATCTTCACAATTGCTTTAATAATCTGCACAGAATCTCGAATGGCATTTATCACTAGCACCATCTAGTGTTAACATAATCTCAATTGCAATCCAGGTCATTTAGTTGTGCTATTACATGAAGCACAGTGATACCACATTAATCTATTGTATAAAAAACTAAATATCTGACATTGTTTTTCCATTGGAATTTGGTTCTGCTTTTAGATGGTTGAAAGCATAGTGATAACACATAGGACATTCAACTAACTTTTGGATGTCTTTTTGAGTGGGTGAACATACAGTTGAAGTCGGAAGTTTACATACACTTAGGTTGGAGTCATTAAAACTCGTTTTTCAACCACGCCACAAATTTCTTGTTAACAAACTATAGTTTTGGCAAGTCGGTTAGGACATCTACTTTGTGCATCTACTTTGTGCATGACACAAGTCATTTTTAGACCTCAGAAAATAAATTGTAGTCCTCCACAAGTCTGGTTCATCCTTGGGAGCAATTTCCAAACGCCTGAAGGTACCACGTTCATCTGTACAAACAATACTACGCAAGTATAAACACCATGGGAACACTCAGCTGTCAAACCACTCAGGAAAGAGATGCGTTCTGTCTCCTAGAGATGAACGTACTTTGGTGCGAAAAGTGCAAATCAATCCCAGAACAACAGCAAAGGACCTTGTGAAGATGCTGGAGGAAACAGGTACAAAAGTATCTATATCCACAGTAAAACGAGTCCTATATCGACATAACCTGAAAGGCCGCTCAGCAAGGACGAAGCCACTGCTCCAAAACCGCCATAAAAAAGCCAGACTATGGTTTGCAACTGCACATGGGGACAAAGATCATACTTTTTGGAGAAATGTCCTCTGGTCTGATGAAACAAAAATAGAACTGTTTGCCCATAATGACCATCGTTATGTTTGAAGGAAAAAGGGGGTTGCTTGCAAGCTGAAGAACACCATCCCAACCGTGAAGCACGGCGGTGGCAGCATTATGCTTTGGGGGTGCTTTGCTGCTGAAAGGACTGGTGCACTTCACAAAATAGATGGCATCATGAGGAAGGAAAATTATGTGGATATATTGAAGCAACATCTCAAGACATCAGTCAGGAAGTTAAAGCTTGGTCGCAAATGGGTCTTCCAAATGGACAATGACCCCAAGCATACTTCCAAAGTTGTTGCAAAATGGCTTAAGGACAACAAAGTCATGGTATTTGAGTGGCCATCACAAAGCCCTGACCTCAATCCTATAGAAAATTTGTGGGCAGAACTGAAAAAGCGTGTGCGAGCAAGGAGGCCTACAAACATGACTCAGTAACACCAGCTCTGTCAGGAGGAATGGGTCAAAATGCACGCAACTTATTGTGGGAAGCTTGTGGAAGGCTACCCGAAATGTTTGACCCAAGTTAAACAATTTAAAGGCAATGCTACCAAATCCTAATTGAGTGTATGTAAAATTCTGACCCACTGGGAATGTGATGAAATAAATAAATGCTGAAATAAATCATTCTCTCTACTATTATTCTGACATTTCACATTCTTAAAATAAAGTGGTGATCCTAACTGACCTAAGACAGGGAATTTTTACTAGGATTAAATGTCAGGAATTGTGAAATACTGAGTTTAAATGTATTTGGCTAAGGTGTATGTAAACTTCTGACTTCAACTGTAGGTTGTAATCTCATTGATCAACGTCTCAACCAAATATTACCCAATTATCCACGTTGAAATGAAGTGGTGTGCCCAGTGTTGTTGTTTTTGAGCTAAATCTGGTCACAAATCCCTGGACACTGCGTTGTGTTTGCCCTGGCTGCTCCTTACCTGTAGCATTACATCTGACCCCAGGCAGCCTGGCCTGCACTGGCATCTGCTAGACCAGGATGCCAAAGCAACGATGTCCAACCAACAACCACACTATGAATGTAAATTGGCCTATATGACTTAACATATTGCCGCCTGTGTCGGCCAGAGTGTGTCTAGAGCTTCCCTGACTCTCAAGGAGGTGATGGCACACCTGAGGGATAAACGTAATAATAAACGTGGAGGAAAAGATTACTGCCTCTCTATTTCTGTACCGCAAAGCTCTTTATTGGTCTTAGCCTGCCGTGGCAGAGAATGTGAGTGTGCGTGTGATTTTGTGTGTGTGTGTGTGTGTTTTCCATCCACCTCCCGCAAAGCGCACTCCACTGACTGTTTGGATCTATCAGCGTGTACATGATCTCTCTTCCACGGCTGGACTGAGGAAATAAGGGACATTAACAATATCACAGCAGCCTATCCCAGGCATCAAGGAATAGTTGTCACGATGATAGTTACCATGTTAACAGCTATGTACATGGTGGTCAGAGTAGTTGAAAAGGTAAGACATGCCGTTAACAGCTGGTCCAACTTGTGGAGTTAGATATGTAATTTTGAGGTCATTCAATCTGTATGTTTGACTTTGAACCACTTTATTGCACATTTGATAGGCTTTGGTATGCTTCAAGCTGCTAACTGTCTAAATAACGTCATCAAATGTCATAATGAAGTGCACGAAAGAGTTGTCCATGTATGTAATATCTATGGTGCTACGATGCTACGTATAGTTTAGTTTATCAGGATCCCCATTTAGCCTTTGCTATATCATTGTGTGAGTTTTCTTTTTTGGGGGGTGTATGGAATTCTGTCTGATTAGCTTTTTTTATGTGAGCATGAATATCTTAGATAGCTTTGTCCACAGTGAGTGCTTTTAATTAGAAAATATTGAGGAAGTTGTCCTGATTATTGTTCTGTACGCGTGAAAAGGAAAGTGAACTGAGGGTCAATACTCAACTTGATCTCATAATTTAACTTCAGGATTTTATGTAATTGAATGAACATACACACACACACCAATTGAAGAGGCTTTAATTCTCTCTCACACACATAGAGTCAGGGTTTAATGCTCCTCTCTCTCATGCTACGCACGCACACACACACGACGAGTGTTCCACTGGCATTTAGGTAAACAGGAAGTTCAGGAACACACACACACAAATGTAATCCTTTCCATGTCTATCCCAGATAGGAGTGCGGTTTGCGCGCAGTGATCCTCCCTTGCCTTTCATGGTGACCCAGACTCTGCCCTGGCAGGTGCACCACGTGTCTCAAAAAAGGAGAAGCAGCGCAACAGCTGAGGTCAGTAACTCAAACATTCCCATCCACCATTTGCCACTGCCAGCACCACACCCTAACACCACCTCAACACCTCATCCTCTCACCTCACCCCTCCCAAAAACATACCTCCAATGTGTCATGGCAGCATGTTTGTGGAATAACGTGAACAACTCAAACAACCACTTAGATTTCAAGCCATTTCAGATACCTCTTCATTTAATGTTTTTGATTAGTTAACGTCGCACACAATGTGCTGTGCTGAGGTGACTGCTGTGGAGTAGGAGTCATATTCTCACCCACTGCATGTTCTTGAATAAGTGAATGTTGACTGAGGTCCTTGACTTAACATCCAGCCAGGCAGTAGTCATGTGTTACAGCAGCAGTGAAGGCTCAGGCTGGGAATGGGATTAAGAGTAGGATGTGGGGGATGGTATCAGTGTACAAGAGAGCCTGTGGAGAGAGGGGGAAGATAGGCCATGCTACAGTTGAAGTTGGAAGTTTACATACACTTAGGTTGGAGTCATTAAAACTTGTTTTTCAACCACTCCACAAACTTCTTGTTAACAAACTATAGTTTTGGCAAGTCGGTTAGGACATCTACTTTGTGCATGACACAAGTAATTTTTCCAACAATTGTTTACAGACAGATGATTTCACTTATAATTCACTGGATCACAATTCCAGTGGGTCAGAAGTTTACATACACTAAGTTGACTGTGACTTTAAACTGCTTGGAAAATTCCAGAAAATGATGTCATGGCTTTAGAAGCTTCTGATAGGCTAATTCACATCATTTGAGTCAATTGGAGGTGTACCTGTGGATGTATTTCAAGGCCTACCTTCAAACTCAGTGCCTCTTTGCTTGACATCATCGGAAAATCAAAAGAAATCAGCCAAGACTACAGAAAAAAAATTGTAGACCTCCACAAGTCTGGTTCATCCTTGGGAGCAATTTCCAAATGCCTGAAGGTACTACGTTAATCTGTACAAACAATAGTACCAAGTATAAACACAATGGGACCACGCAGCCATCATACCGCTTAGAAAGGAGATGAGTTCTGTCTCCTAGAGATTAACGTACTTTTGTGCGAAAAGTGCAAATCAATCCCAGAACAACAGCAAAGGACCTTGTGAAGATGCTGGAGGAAACAGGTGCAAAAGTATCTATATCCACAGTAAAACGAGTCCTATATCGACATAATCTGAAAGGCCGCTCAGCAAGGAAGAAGCCACTGCTCCAAAACTGCCATAAAAAAGCCAGACTATGGTTTGCAACTGCACATGGGGACAAATATCATACTTTTTGGAGAAATGTCCTCTGTTCTGAGTAAACAAAATGTTAACTGTTTGGCCATAATGACCATCATTATGTTTGGAGGAAAAAGGGGGTGACTTGCAAACCGAAGAACACCATCCCAACCGTGAAGAACGGGGGTGGCAGCATCATGCTGTGGGGGTGCTTTGCTGCAGGACGGACTGGTGCACTTCACAAAATAGATGGCATCATGAGGAAGGAAAATTATGTGGATATGTTGAAGCAACATATCAAGACATCAGTCAGGAAGTTAAAGCTTGGTTGTGGCAAATGTGGCAAAATGGCTTAAGGGCAACAAAGTCAAGGTATTTGAGTGGCCATCACAAAGCCCTGACCTCAATCCTATAGAAAGTTTGTGGGCAGAACTGAAAAAGCATGTGCGAGCAAGGATGCCTACAAACCTGACTCCGTTACACCAGCTCTGTCAGGAGGAATGGGTCAAATCTTCACCCAACTTATTGTGGGAAGCTTGTGGAAGGCTACCCGAAACGTTTGACCCAAGTGAAACAATTTAAAGGCAATGCTTCCAAATACTAATTGTGTGTATGTAAACTTCTTACCCACTGGGAATGTGATGAAATAAATAAAAGCTGAAATAAATCATTCTCTCTACTATTACTCTGACATTTCACATTCTTAAAATAAAGTGGTGATCCTAACTGACTTAAGACAGGACATTTTAATAGGATTAAATGTCAGGAATTGTGAAAAACTGAGTTGAAATGTATTTGGCTTAGGTGTATGTCAACTTCCGACTTCAACTGTATCTGAGAACTATTTCATGAGAAAGAATGGAATTTGAAAAGAAAGTTACGTGGCCGCAGTCAATAACTTTTGGTATTACAATAACAAGACAAAGCAGCCTTTGCTTTTGAAAAGCCTGATCTGAAATTACTTTAAAATGGTTGCTGTCAGACATGATGTAGGCCTCAGCTCCACAGAGACAGACAGACAGGCAGACAGGCAGGCAGGCAGGCCGATAGGTACAGTAGACAGACAGATGAACAGGCAGGCCAAACCAAGGCTTCACCTCCTCCAGCAGGTGGTACCTGTAATCCCTATTGAGGGGATTTGTGTCTGCGGACATTACCTAGACTGGAGATTGGAGAGGTAGTAGGTGTGGCTCTGCTAAAGGTCAAGGACCAAAGTTGTGTCAAGAACATGTGCAGCTTTAGCTGTGTGATCTCTGGTTAAAGGGATAGCAATCTGCTGATATAATGAACTTAACAAATGTACAGAGGAAGGGAAGTATATAATGGTCTAGAGGTATCTACAGTGGCTTGCGAAAGTATTCACCCCCCTTGGCATTTTTCCTATTTTGTTGCCTTACAACCTGGAATTAAAATAGATTTTTGGGGGGTTTGTATTACTTGATTTACACAACATGCCTACCACTTCCACTTTGAAGATGCAACATATTTTTTATTGTGAAACAAACAAGAATAAGACCAAAAAACTGAAAACTTGAGCGTGCATAACTATTCACCCCCCCCCCCCCCCCCCCCCCCCCCCCAAGTCAATACTTTGTAGAGCCACCTTTTGCAGCAATTACAGCTGCAAGTCTCTTGGGGTATGTCTCTATAAGCTTGGTACACCTAGCCACTGGGACTTTTGCCCATTCTTCAAGGCAAAACTACTCCAGCTCCTTCAAGTTGGATGGGTTCCACTGGTGTACAGCAATATTTAAGTAATACTACCGATTCTCAATTGGATTGAGGTCTGGGCTTTGACTAGGCCAGCAAACGTATTTGCTTATTTTTATCTTTAAGCAATGGCTTTTTTTCTGGCCACTCTACCGTAAAGCCCAGCTCTGTGGAGTGTACGGCTTAAAGTGGTCCTATGGACAGATACTCCAATCTCCGCTGTGGAGATTGGAGTATAATTTCACTTCACCAATTTCACCAATTTTGTGTATGTCCATTACATGAAATCCAAATAAAAATCCATTTAAATTACAGGTTGTAATGCAACAAAATAGGAAAAACGCCAAGGGGGATGAATACTTTTGCAAGTCACTGTAACAGTGCTCAGTATAGTTTCCCCAGACATTTATTATGAAAATCTCATGAAATCATTAGAGGGTGCATACTTTTTGTTAGTCTGCCATACTCATCAGATGCCATAGAGGGTGCCATAGTCATTCTGACACAAAGAGACAAAAGCATACTGACAGAGGGATGTATTGCATAACTTAGCCTTTTCTATGCCATTGTGATGATAGAATTACACAATAAACAGCTAATTAACAACACATTTGGATCCAACAATGCACAGCATTTTCAATGCCTCTGGGCCCTACATTCTTGTATTGCTGAATGCTACAATCATCAATTACCAACATTTCCAGAATTGGCTACTGAAACACCACTACAAAATTACATTGCTGCCTGTCTGCAAGTTGGGCTGTCTTGGAATGGCATGTGAAGAATGACGCAATCATGTTCCAAACATTCCACCTCTGACGTTTACACTGAGCAAACAGGAAATGGACAATAAGGCATGCCTGCAGTAGCCTAGCAATTAATGTGTGTGTTTGTGAGTGTGTGTGTGTGTGTGCGTGCAGGCGCACGTATGTGTAAGTGATAGGGATGCAATCTGCAGTTGCTACATCCATTATTTTAAACGTATATATTATATGTAACCATTGATTCTGGAAGAATATAACCTATAAATGCCTCGTGAGCTTAGTTTAACTGCAGAACCCCATCAGAACCCGAAATATAAGCTTGTTTTACTCCAATGTTTGTAAACAAAGCAAATGGAAACGAACACTGTATATCCTCAAAACAAGGTTAAAACTATAATTTTGATATCATGGATGGTCAGTCCTTGCATCCATAGCTCTGTCTATGAATTTGAGAGTGGTTACTTTTCTCCAGCCCAATCCCCTCAACTTTTCACCAAAATAGTTGTTATTGTTTCAACTGCAGATTGCCCCTTTAACATCTTTTGTTGTAATGCTTTTGATTGTAGCTTCTTTGGCAGTTTACATTGTATTCTTCTTTACAGTATGATGGCCAGAGGAGGAACAGCATAGGAGTGTTCAGAAAGAGTGAGTATGAGACCAAACAATTTTTAAAAGAGTGAAATGCGCACATCTAGAAAACATTTCCCAGGTGCTGGATCCAAAAGCAAAAAATTTATATATATATGTTTTAATTGGCACATTGGTATGCTGCTCCCACAGTGTTTAATGAGAAACGGACAACGGTTTGACTGGGTCTTCCTCATTACAACCCAGTTACGGGTCAAAACATCATTTTCTCTGTAAAACACTTCGGAAGCAGTATACGAGTATGTGGATTTATATTTTTCTTATCCGTGACACCAGAACAGTCCGTGGCAATATAGCTATAATAATAAAGTATAATCACCTACCAACATAAAGGCTTGCTGAAATGTTTCATAACTTCTTAACCCTTAACGTTACAAACCACTTGTGCCTTACTGCTTATGTACTTGCTACGTTGTTACATACAGTAAATTCGGACCTCTTCCCCAATGCAACGCTGGCTGTTGCTGTTGCCACTTTGGCTGTGCCCTGTCTCCTGACGTGCAATCGGAAAGACTCCACGTGCAGCAACGGGTGTGCAGCGGCGCCCCTCAGCCCCACCCTGCCTGTGGAGAAAGCTGCCGCAACCATCCAGAACCAGTTCAGGAAGTACCAGCAGAAGAAGAAGGAGACCAAGTAAAGTCACACCCGCACCACCGGAGCTCTGCAAGACAGACAGATGGACAGACGGACACCAATACACCCGCAGGGGACACTGACAGACATACAGACAGACAGACAGACAGACAGACAGACAGACAGACAGAGTCCTCTCTAAAATGTAAAGAGCAGAGGATCAAACATTTAATCTAACTCCATTACCCATCTTACATAGCACGTATACCAAAGTAAATAGTGTAGATTGACTTTATACATGTCGAATATTTTACAGACACACATACATTCAACCACTCATTTAACGCACAAAATATTACACACATCCTGTATCATACTATGTGACTAAATATATATGTATGTATGAATAATATGTCCTTCATATGCTTATGTACATATTTGTATTTGTGAAGATAATTATGTGCGAGAGTATCTTTGCGTGTGTGTGTGTGTGTCAGCGAGCATGTGAGAGTGTCAGCGTCTGTGTGAGAGCATGCACATTGTACTGTATGTATTGCAGTATGTATCATATTTGAAAGATGAATAGATGGATTGTAAATGCAAAAAACAGATACACCCAACACACTAAATTAAACTCCTTAGTAATCCTGGATTGGTGTTCTTTATGTTGTTGCACTGACCTCTTGTGTCGAGGTAATGAATTGCTCTAATTTCACATCGATGTTATTCCGACTGTATAATCAATCATTCTTGTGATATTTTCTTAAATACACCCCTTTATCCAGCAGAAAGGAAAGGATGGAAAAAGGAAGACATGACTCATAGAAAGATAGCTTTATTGCACAAGGTGTTGGAGTACTCTTTTTCTGGTTTTGTTTGTTTTCATAGAAAAAAAAAACGGTAGAGTTAAACAAGCAATTGCAAATTGAAGCAACTTTTCCATAAAAGTTTAAGAACTCTGTATTTTTTTTAACGATTTTTCCCCTCAACCCTTTCCTTTTTATTTTTATAACCAACAAATAATTCAGAGCATGCAATGCCGTTTTTCCTCAACAGAAATTTCAAAAAAAATAAAAAAAATAAACAAAAAATTAAAATCAATACAAAGCAATCAATGGCCCAAAATATTTAAAATCAACAATACTTCTTGAAAAAGAGGACGCAATTGTGAAAGCAATATGTGGTCCACTCTGGATTTATTTTGCCCCATTCAAAAATCGAATTGTAAGTAGTGTTACTATACGTCTATAGTTTTCTTTAACCCTCTCCTGTTTCAAGTTATAACTTTAATCAAAGTTTACATTGTGCCCTGGTTTCATCTGGAGATGTCGAAAATAGTACGCATTTATACAAAACACTTTGCTATGTACAAGTCTTTAATAGTGGGGTAGCAATGCTGTTGGGGCAGGAGGTGCAGGGAGGGGGGAATCTGAGACCCTCTTGAGACCTGGTACTAACATGTCCTGGTAATGGATCTGTGGTCACATCCGGTCACACCCTATCAAATTGGGCTGTAGTAGACATTTTGGGACAAATCTGATCACAAGACACATGTTATTACCAGGTGTAAATGAGGGTCTGATTGGTCAAATAGGTGGGGCAAAGGTCAGGGTAGGGTGGGGAGGGGAGGGAGTTTGATTCCTGACCCCGCCCAATATGCACACAGCTTTTCCTGTGATTGGTTGGAGCTAGGGAGTCCCTGATTCCAAATGGCTAAACAGGCCTGCCCCTTCACGTGACACTACTGTGCGTCTCAAAGCAAACCATTTCAAAATAATTGCATAACCAAGGAAGCCAAAACAAAATAAACAGTATCATAATAATATCAACGGAAAGGAAAGGTTCTTCTCTCTGCAGACTCCCTGTCCTGTTCACTGTCTGCAACAGACAGGGAGCGTGAGTGTTGTCAGTTATGAGCAGTTATAACAGTTATATGTATGTCCGGAATAGGAGTACTGTGCAGGGACACAATGACAATGGTAAGACACATGTGCTGTCTTCACTAAGTTCAGTCATGAGACGTCATGGAGGTTGTCAACAGAACACACCCTTGGAAGGTACAATACAACAGGTTACATTTGCTTCTCCCTTTGTAATCTCTTCCTCTCTTAACACCTGAAGTAGGGTCATACTTCTAAATTGGCCTTAGATTTGGGGACGTACACAATAAGAATGTGGGTTGGGCACTGTGGCATTGCCCACCAATGTTACCTGAATCCCCATGTGCCAGGGTTAGGTGTGCCAGGGTTAGTTGTGCCAGGGTTGGTTGTGCCAGAGTTAGGCTGTAAACTGAAATCAACAGGGGAGGTTGCCTCAGCTAAGTGACTCAGTGCTGAAGCTGCTACTCACTAACTATCCACTGTAACTGCTTATAAACGGTTAAAGGTTCCCTGAAATCTTTATTTCTTATGTTAGTGATGTCCCTCACCCTTTCCACAGGTACAATTAAAAGAGGGTTGTGCTGACCGCAATGAACACTCTTTACCTCACTGACCACAAAAACCACTATGATCACAAAACTACCTCAGTGTCTACTCTCCAACCACAGTGGACCACAGGGGCAACTCCAAACCAAATCAACCACAGGTCTGATGTTATTAGACACAGTAACCACACTGGCTGCCATGGGGTTCACTGACCACAAGCCATTCTGACCATTACAAAATGCTAATCGACAGCATTAGTTTGCAACCGGCCTCACTGGTTAAGGTACTAGCCATCATTGGGCCTTAACTACTTACAGTAGATACTTTGGTTTGCATCCTGAATGGCATGTTTGGTGTAGTTCTGCTCCTGCACTGTAGCTACCTATGTACCTGGCAGAGGGGCAAACGCCCTTGAGGCCATAGCATCAATGTTCACATCCCCAAACTCGGCCTCAGATACTGTAGCTAACGCTCTATTTCATCTATCTATATCTTTCTTGGTTGTGCTAGCCGTTTCACGTTCTCCACTTTCTCATCTTCCTCCACTCTTCCTCTTAACCCACGGCTTCTTCCACTGAGCGATTGTCTCATTATTTATATTTTCATATATTTTCAATTACGATGACTTTATATCTCTCTGCTTTATTGAATAGTTATATATTTGCTATATATTTAGATATAAATATATGTACATATATTTTACCACAAATATTATATATATATTTTTTTTTTATATTGCGAGAGCCCTGATGTGAAATTGTCCATTGCAAACATTGGGAGCAATTCTTTTTTTGGGGGACATTTCTTTGTCATGGGGCTAAGCTTTGGGTGTAGAAAAAAAGAAACTCGACAATAAGCTTAAATACATTTTAGTGGGATGGGGGGGCCTTAGACAACATATTGATTCTTGAGACCACTTAATTTCACAAGACTAACTCATGTCCACCTGCCATCTCTTCCATCTCTTCCATCCTTCCCTAAACACTTAAACCACTGTTTTGTCTGCCTAATCTTGCCATCTTGCCCTTCAAATCAATCATTATCATGTTTGTATAGTCTCCTCTGTTTCAATCTGAAATCGGTTTATCCATCCATCTTTCTGTCTGTTTCATCTTTTATCAGTCTGTCTGTCTGTTGTCCTGCAGTCCGTTTGTCAGTCAGTCCCAACTATTGTCATAAATGTCTCTCTGCCTAGCAGAGTGTGCTAGAAGGTGACAGTGAGGACTGTATGGATGGGGGTGTAGGGGTATGGAGGATGGGGGTGTGGGGTATGGATGATGGGGGTGTGGGGTGGTGGGGATGGGTTGGAGGTGTTTGGGTAGACAGAGGGGTAGTATGAAGGAATGGGGGTATGTGGCACCAAGCGCAAATGAACGACAGAACAAAGGGTATTCTTCCTGCTTCAGGGGGATGGAGAGAACAAGAGAGAGGACCAAGAGGAGGGGTGGTCATTTCACCCCTGCACCTCTAATGCACGGCAAATCAACTCCCTCTGTCCATCTTCCTCGCCATCTCCAAGGCGATGCTGCCAGTGTCAATCACACCGGCCAACCAAAGTCCAGAAGGGAGAGACCGACATGTGACATCATACAGTGTGACATCATCGTCCCCAAACCACTGTCACAAGTAGCAGATGGACAGGAGGTTTGTAACGCACGCCTCCGCCAAGGAGTCAGCATACAGATTGATTAAAAAGGTCCACTGCAGGTGTTTACCAGCCACATGTATACATATTTACACATATACACGCACACACGCAGGCTCGTGAAGGTTCTGTGAATCCATTCTACCATATTTTAATGCACATGAGTTTATATATTCCAAAAGAAGAAGAGAAAAACAAACAGAAAAAAAATACAGTTTAGATTCATCTTTCGTATGAAGACGATTCTTGTTTTTTTCCCCCTCTCTCTGTTTCCTGTTGTCCTATAAAATAGTCAGTAACACTCTATACTGTGTCATGAATTGCATGAAAAAAGTTCCCCCAAGGCTCCTCCAACATCATCGTTGAAACCAAAGTCTGTTACCTGTTTGTGTGAGTCCGTACCAGGATGGCTTTGGAGGGCCAGAGACAGACACCAAGGTTGTTGGTTTATGCATAAGCACTTTCCATGGCAATGCGCTGCTGTATGAACTCTGAACTCTCTGTTCAGAGACGTGAAAAGAAACACATAAAACGGTCTAAAACATCTAGACAGGTTTATGTGAAACTCTACATCTCTTAGTACTTGGTTTTTCATTTACCGTTCTGAATTCAAGAAAACAAGTGCACATGGAACGTATTTCGTGCATAAGTTCTGAGGTGTCTTAACAGATAATTACAGATAATTAGAGAGAGAGAGAGAGAAGGATAGAGAGAGAGAGAGAAAGAAGGAGAGATAGAGAGAGAGAGAGAGAGAGAGAGAGTGAGAGAGAGAGAGAGAGAGAGAGAGAGAGAGAGAGAGAGAGAGAGAGAGAGAGAGAGAGAGAGAGAGAGAGAGAGAGAGAGAGAAAGAAAGTAAGTTTGCAAAAACAAATATTAAAATTATGTTGAGTTTGGCAAGTTATTTCCAGGTAAAATAAAATAAAAATTGATAGAGAGAGGAAGAGAAAGAGAGAGAGAAACAGAAAGAGAGAAAAAGATAAACAGACAGAGAAAAAACAAACAGGCAGAAAGCAGACCATCTCCTGTGCTATAAAAACCCCAATCTGGCCCCTGCCGAGCGGCCTGACAGTGCAGGAGTCAGGTGTGTGTACAGTGCCTTGCAAAAGTATTAAGCCCCCTTGGATTTCTTCCTATTTTGTTACATTACAACCTGTAATTTAAATGGATTTTTATTTGGATTCCAAGTAATGGACATACACAAAATAGTCCAAATTGGTGGTGACATGATAAAAATGGAATAAAAAAAATAACGGAAAAGTGGTGCGTGCGTATGTATTCACCCCCTTTGCTATGAAGCCCCTAAATAAGATCTGGTGCAACCAATTACCTTCAGAAGTCACATCATTATTTAAATAAAGTCCACCTGTGTGCAATCTAAGTGTCACATGATCTGTCACATGATCTCAGTATATATACACCTGTTCTGAAAGGCCCCAGAGTCAGCAACACCACTAAGCAAAGGGCACCACCAAGCAAGCGGCACCATGAAGACCAAGGAGCTCTCCAAACAGGTCAGGGACAAAGTTGTATAGAAGTACAGATCAGGGTTGGGTAAAAAAAAATATATATCCTAAACTTTGAACATCCCACAGAGCACCATTAAATCCATTATTAAAAAATAGAAAGAATATGGCACCACAACAAACCTGCCAAGAGAGGGCCGCCCATCAAAACTCACGGACCAGGCAAGGAGGGCATTAATCAGAGAGGCAACAAAGAGACCAAACATAACCCTGAAGAAGCTGCAAAGCTCCACAGCGGAGATTGTAATATCTGTCCATAGGAATACTTTAAGCCATTCACTCCACAGAGCTGGGCTTTACGGATGAATGGCCAGGAAAAAGCCATTGCTTAAAGAAAAAAATAAGCAAACACATTTGGTGTTCACCAAAAGGCATGTGAGAGACTCCCCAAACATATAGAAGAAGGTACTCTGGTCAGATGAGACTAAAATTGAGCTTTTTGGCCATCAAGGAAAACGCTATGTCTGGCGCAAACCCAACACCTCTCATCACCCTGAGAACACCATCCCCACAGTGAAGCATGGTGGTGGCAGCATCATGCTGTGGGGATGTTTTTCATCGGCAGGGACTGGGTAACTGGTCAGAATAGTTATGCATGCTCAAGTTTTCAGTTTTTTTGTCTTATTTCTTGTTTGTTTCACCAGAAAATATATTTTGCATCTTCAAAGTGGTAGGCATGTTGTGTAAATCAAATGATACAAACCCCCCAAAAATCCATTTTAATTCCAGGTTGTAAGGCAACAAAATAGGAAAAATGCCAAAGGGGGTGAATACTTTCGCAAGCCACTGTACATTTGTCTGTGTAGCCCCTAACCCTTCCCAAGGCTCCAACATCTACACCAGTGGCTCCAGCTACACCAGTGTATAAGATTTGGAGTAGGCCCCGCCAGCCGCCTGCTTCTGTCTGTCTAGTCTGCCCAGGCCTGATGAGCTGCTCTCCAGCAGAGAGTCTCTGGAGTCTCCCCCCGTGGCTCCCCCGCTGGCCGAGGCTGCGGCGGTAGTGGCGGCAGCAGCTGCAGCACTCTGGGCAGAGGATGAGGAGGAGCCGGGCATGGTGAGAGTCCTCTGAGGCAGGGAGGAGGTGCTGGAACCACCAGACGGCCCTCCAGTCGCCCCTCCTACAGCACCACCACTGCCACTACCACCCCCTGATGCTCCCCCTGAGGAGCTGAGGCCTGCCAGGCCAGCATGGCCCACAGTCAGAGCCTGCTGTTGCTTGGAAGAGTCCATAGTCATGTGGCGACCCTGGGTGTGGTACGCACGCTGGGCCAGGCTGCGGATGGAGGCCTCGCGGGGCGGCACCACCGGGCATGGTTCATGAAGCTCCGACTGCTTCCGGAAGAAAGGGTCTGTCTTCATGTAGAGGGGAAGGTTACAGTAGTCACCTGGGGTGGGGGGATGAAAGAGAGAAAGAGGGAGAAATATCATGCACATTTGTTATATGTCACAGTACCGAAATGTGTCTAAAGTACATCAAACAACCCTGCTCACTCTAACCATGCTTAGAGGCCGTTACATTATACCCGACTTATAGGATCATTCTAACAAAGCACAGGTCTCATACTCACTTTTGGCAGTCCACTCGCTCTTGTTGGCGCGGTGGGGGATGGGCACGGCTACGTTGGTAGGTCTTCCGCGGTCGTAGTCCTGGGGTTTGGGTGGCGAGGCGGTGAAGCGACACAGGCCCGTCTCGGACGGGGTGCTCATGGAGGTCATGCTGTCGCCGTTGTCGTTGGTGCCCGTGGTCATCTGGTCTGAGGAACTGTCGGAGATAAAGCACTCAGTGATCTCAAACTTGGCGTGCTGTAGGTGCTCCTCAAGCTTGGCGTGTTCATAGGCCCGCGCCAGCTCCTCA